GGGAAGGGAAGGGAAGGGAAGGGAAGGGAAAGCTTCAGCCCTGCCAGGGTGCAAGGACACAGCGTGGGACACAGAGGGATCTTCTCCTTGCCAGAAGAGGCTCGTTCCCAGCCCTGGCACGGGTGCCACCAGCTGTACTCACATTCTCCCCCTTGGGGCCGATGTCTCCCTGGGGTCCCCTGATGCCACGGCCACCCTGGAGCAGGAGAGGGCAAGTGTCAGGTCAGTGTGCCCCTGGGGCAGAGGGTGGGGCTGGCAGAGGGAGGAGATGCCCGTGGAGGACACCCTGGGCACAGGGACACTGGCACTGGGGGGGCCACCTACCAGCTCTCCCTTCTCACCGGGGTCCCCAGGTGGTCCCTTAGGCCCTTCCCTGCCCTGCAGAGGAGAAAGGCAAGAGCTGAGCAGGGAACTGGGGGGTCCCTGAGCCCCTGGGGGTGGATGGGGGGGCACTCACCGGCCGCCCAGCTGCTCCAACAGACCCCACCATGCCCTTGTACCCAGCAGGGCCCTGCAAAGAGAGCACGGGGGGGTCAATGCCTGGCACCCCCAGCCCCACCCAGCAGGAGGCAGGTCCAGCTCCCCAGGGCAGCCCAACGTGTTGGTGACGGTCCCAGGAAGCGCCTCCAGCCTGGGAATCGCTGCCATGGGGTCTGGGCCCCCCGAGCCCCCCAGCAGCACTCACCGTCTCGCCCTTGGGTCCTGCCATCCCGGGGTACCCCCTGGGGCCCTGAGGTCCCTGTGGGGAAGGGAAGCACAGTGCCAGTTTAGCTGGGAAGCCCCCCTGGAGCAGCCCAGGGGGAGGCTGCGATTCCAGCAGCCCCCAGGGTTGGGAATCAGCCCGTTTGGCCAAACACGGGGGGTTCCAGCCCCTCCTAATCCTGCAGCCCCCCAGCAGGTGCTTTTCCAGCTGTCGATTCCATCACACCAACGGGCCCAAACTGGAGTCTCTTGCCCTGCCAAAGCTCTGCTTCAAAGCAGTTCTGCCCTTCCCTGGACCCAGGGCTCAGCCCATTAATTGCTTTTCATCTTCAAAGTGCTCAGGGAGCTCCTGCAGCTTTAATCCCCCCCTGGCCCTGCCGTGAGCTGGGGGCTGCACCCCCCCTTCAGGTGGGGTGAGGGGCACAGGAGAGCTTTGTCCTGGCCCAGGAGTTATCCATGGGAGCAGCTGAGGTCTCTGTTGGGAGAGATGGTGACACCCTGGGAGGAGGAGGGAGATGGGTGGGAGGAAGGCTTTGCTGCAGCCCCAGGGCTGTGTGGGACACACTGGTGTCACCTCCCCGGTGTCTGGGGCCGAGCACAACGTGGGCACCCCCAGTTTTTGGGGCCCTGGGGGGGTGGAGGAGCAGAGAGGGGGGAGTGTGTTACCGGCGGGCCGGGGACTCCTTGTTCTCCAGAGGCACCAACGTCGCCCTTGGGGCCCTGGGCAGGGAGAGAACTGAGTGTTGGGGGGCAGTGGGGGTACAGACTGCCCTGGGGACACAAGACCCCCTCCCTTGGGACCCAGCAGGCGATGGGGAAGGTGTCCCTGCCCGGGAAGCCACCTTGGGAAGACCACCCTGTCCCCCTCCCTCTCCCAGCCCTGGATTTCCCACCTTCTTCTCCCACCTCTTTTCTTCCTTCTTTTCCCCCCTTTCTCCCCCTGGGTCCATCCCCTGCTCCTCCAGAGGCCCCAGGGACACCTGGATGTGCTGGGAACTCACCTGCCCCCCCTGCCTGCCGGGCTCCCCGAGGGCACCGGGGCGGCCTCTGTGTCCCTGCGGGGGAACAAGAAGATCATGAGCACCCCTGGCAGAGCAGCAGGGCTGTGGCAGCGTCCTGAGAGCCCCCCTGCCCACCTCAGCCCACCCTGGGGTGCCCACTGGAGCTTCCTGAGGCAGTGGCAGGGCTGGGACTGGGGCTTTGGYACGGGGTCCCACGCCCAGGAAAGGGTTGGTGGGAGCTGGGAAGCCACTCGAGGCCTCTCCCACGACACCTTTGGCTCCAGGGCTCTCTGTGCACGTGTGTCCTGGTGCTCCCAGGGGAGCAGGGCAGTTCCTGAGCTCCCTGTGGCTCCAGAGCGAGGATGGATCCTCCACTCTGCCACATCCTGCTGGAGGTGACGGTCCCTGTTCCACCCCAGCAGCTCCAGGGCTCCCTTACCTTCAGTCCCTGCAGTCCCTGGGGGCCCTTGGGACCTGGGGGGCAGCTGGTCGGGCACTGGGGGGAAGAAGAAGCACAGGATGAGCTGGGGAAGGACCTGGAGGCTGTGGAGAAGCCGTGCTGGGAAGGATGGGCTCCTGTGCCACGTAGGAGTGGTGACACAGGGGACCCCCTGCTCACACCCCAGCTGTGCTGGGGACCCTGCTCCTCCCCAGGGACAGAATTCCAGGGAGGGCTGCATTCCAGGGCCCTGCAGAGCCCTGCTGGAGGGATGAGACCGTGGCAGCTCACCAGGATATCAGCGCTGCCTTCCTCCAGTCCTTGGATGTGTCCTGGGAGGCCCTGGAGGGAAGGAGACCATCAGCATCCCTGGGTTGGCATCAGGATGATTTCCCAGGAGGGAGGGGTGTGCCAGAGCCCAGGTCCTGGCCCCAGAGCCAGGGCTGAGCCTGGGGGAAGCTTCTCCCTCGTGCAGAAGGTGTTGGTGGCTGGGGTTTTTACTCACGGGTTTCCCTGGAGGGCCTGGGGGGCCCCGGGGGCCGTCGGGTCCAGGGTCACCCTGGGAAAGAACAGACCCAGGAAAGGAGATTCAGGGCTGGGAAGGTGGCAGGTGCTTCCAGAGCTGGGGTGGAGAGGGGTGATGGAGACCTGGAGAGCCAGGATGTCACAGCAGGAACGGGGACATCCCCAGGGTGGATGGCACCAGGGGACCCGGCTGGTGGCATGGAACTGCCACCCCTCCAGCCCCATTGTCCCACCCTCCCACATTCCAGGATCATCCCTGTTTGTCCCAGGAGCCCTGAAGTGCAGAGGGGCAGACCCTGGGGTAGGGAGGGGAGGTTTTCCCATGTCCCCTCCTGACTCCTCACCTTGGGTCCCAGCACCCCGATCTCTCCAGGAAGCCCCACTTGGCCTGGAAGCCCCTTAAGGAGAAGACAAACATTCCCTGAGTGAGAGAGGTCACACCCCCAGGCCTCCCTTTGGGTGTGCTGGGATTTGAGCTCTCCCAGCACAATTCCAGGCAGGATCCCTGGCCATCCCCCCCAACCCCCCAGTGTGGCACTCACGGGTGGTCCTGGCAGAGAAGGGCCCTGCAAGAGGGAGAAAGAGGGTTGGTCTGAATTCCCCAACCCCCCAGACCCTGCAGGATCCGTGTCCCCAGCAGGGTGATGCCACAGCACCAGCTGGGGGGGCTGGAGACAGTCCTGCTCTGCCCCCACCCCACGTGTGACAGCAGTGGGTGCATCCCCTGCACCCATGGGAGCAGCAGATACTCACAGGGAGCCCTGGAGGCCCTGGAAGTCCAGGCTGGCCCTGCCAAGGCAGAGGAGGAGAGTCAGGAGCAGAAACAGGTGGGTCTGCTCTGGCAGCTGCTAAAATCCCCCCTCCCTCCCCCAGCCCCGGTGCCCCCTCACTGCCAGAACCTCCATCACCAGCTCCTGGTCCCTGCTGGCCCCGAGAGGGGAAGGTGGGAGCCAAGGAAAGTGGGAGCCTGGAGAAGCTGCCCCAGAGCAGCCTCTCACTCACTTTAATTCCTGGTGCTCCGATGGGTCCTGGCTCCCCTTTTGCTCCTGTCAGGCCCTGCAAGAGGAGAGATCCCAGAGGTTATTCCCAGCCCCTGGGGTTGTTCCCATGGAAGGAGCTGAATCCCTTTGCAGGCAGATCCAGCTGGATGAATAATCCATGCTCCCAGTGACAGTTATCTCTCTATTCATTGATTATTGAAGAATAACTAAACCCCCAAGGATTCATGAAGGGCCATCAGAGGCACAGAAGAGGACCCTGCAGTTCGGGTTTCCCTCTGATCAGGAGGTAAGTCCCTGGCACTGACCTGGGCATGGGGCAGGAGCCCACCCAGCCCTCCCTGGGCACCCATCACACACCCTGAGACCCAACCCAGGGGACCTGGGGATGGGACTGACCCATCACACAGCCAGGCAGGGGGAGGTGACAGCTCTGTCCCCTTTCTGCCACCACTCCTGTGGTGACTCTGCTTGTGCCAGGGAGGGGACAGTGGTGGGGTCACCAATGCCACCTCATGGGTGCTGGGGGGGGACATGGGATTGCTCCAGGTTTGTTCTGGAGGAAACAAGAGCTCAGTGAGGGCACAGGGCAGCAGCAGCAGCACAGGACAAGGAAAAGCCTTTCCATGCCCAAGGTGTCCGTGCTCCCCTGGCACAGCTCTGCCCTGCCTGGGGTGCAGGGGGGTGTGTTTCTGGGTGCCCAGGCAGTGGGAGGGGGTGGCACCAGCCCTGCCCGGGCTCTGCTGTGATTCCAAAGCTGCTTCCAGCTCCCGCAGGAAGGGATTTGGGCCCGTTCTGATGTGGGACAGACACGATAAGAGGAGTTTGCTGCAGGGGGGCAGGGGGTGGGTACTCACGTCGATGCCCGGCTTCCCTGGGGGTCCATCGGGGCC